AGAGAACATTAAATAAAATAAAGAAATTAAAAGAACCTATATGCATGCCAAAAAGCTTACCAGAGGTCACCCCAACCTCAGCCTTTCTCTCTGGTAGGTGTCAGTCCTTCAAAGTCACCTGCTGGATTTTTCCCTGTGGTTACAAGTTCATAACTGCACCCGAGTCAGAACCAGAACTAGCACACCCATCCATAGGATAGCCTTTCCTTTATACAGCTTTGGCATTTGATCTTAAGACTCTGGGAACAGGTGAGAGAATGGTCTTCTCAGAACGTAGCTTCCCAAGCCTGGGTTTTTGCATAACCAGAGGTGGGGAATTTGCATTCACCTCCTGCTAGAGCAGGGGTGGGCAAACTTTTTGGCCCAAGGGCCACATCTGAGTATGGAAATTGTATGACGGGCCATGAATGCTCACAAAATTGGGGTTGGGGAGCGGGTGAGGGCTCTGGCTGGCGATGCGGGCTCTGGCTGGCGATGCGGGCTCTGGGATAGGGCCAGAAATGAGGAGTTCACAGGGTGGGAGGGGCGCTCTGGCTGGAGGTGTCGGGGCTGGGGTGAGGCTAGGGATGTGGGGTGCGGGGAGGGTGCTTCAGGCTGGGACTGAGGGGTTTGGAGGGTGGGAGGGGGATCAGGGCTGAGGCGAGGGGTTGGGGCATGGGGGGGTGGCTCAGGGGTGCAGGATCCAGGCGGTGCTTACCTCAAGCAGCTCCCGGAAGCAGCGGCATGTCCCTTCTCCGGCTCCTATGCGGAGGCATGGCCAGACGGCTCTGCTGCGCGCTGCCCCATCCACAGGCACCGTCCTGCAGCTCCCATTGTTCCTGACCAATGAGAGCTGTGGGGGAAGCATGTGGAGCAGAGGCCCCTGGCTGCCCCTATGCATAGGAGCTGGAAGGGGGACATGCTGCTACTGCTTCTGGGAGCCACGCAGAGCGCCCGACCCTGCTCCCCAGCTGGAGCACTGGAGCAGGGCAAGCCTCAGACCCCGCTCCCCAGCCGGAGCTCGAGAGCCGGATTAAAACAGCTGGCGCACCGGATGCGGCCCGCGGACCATAGTTTGCCCACCCCGTGCTAGAAAGTACCCTGGTGGCAAACCACTTGACACTGTTTGTCCCAAAAGTCGATTTTTGTCTGGCACATTGTTTAATACAGACCTTTTGAAGTTTATAACATTGCCCAGGGTTCACATCACATTGCCGCCCCAGAGAGGTTACATACAATCCTGGCCCACAATAATACATACATGCATTTATTATAGTGCACTCCAAAAATAGTTAGTTCCGTAAGGGTTTTCTAGGACATTGAAGGAACTTGCAATATTGGTCACGAGTGCTACAAGTTAATGATAAATATTGTTGGGAATTGAGCCCTGGCTCTTAAAACTGTGTTGTTGTTTTTTTGTTTGTTTGTTTTTAAATTGTTCCCCTTTCCAATTTTCTGCAACTCTCTGAAACCAGAAGTAGTTTCAAGATAGTTCATCATCCTACTCCCCCATTGCCAGCTGTCATCAGGATCCCCAAAGGCTGTCTAGGCCATGATGCTATCATTTCAGCTCTTAGAGTAAGGCTGTTTGTTGGAAGGTTTGGGGAGTTGGGGCACCTGCCTGGCTTTCAGCATGTCACAGGTTAGTAGGGAACATGCATGGTAGCACAGAGTTAGGGTCATGGCCCTATTATGTAAACAACCAACAAATTCAATGGCACATTTCTCACTTATTTCAGAAGCTCCTGGAGGCTGGTAAAGAAGTCCCTTCTTTGGCATTTATCATATACATGGATTCAATGGTCCTACAATGACTTGAACAGACTAGCTTCCTTAACTATTACTTATCGAAACCGTGGTCTGGTGCAAGAGTAGGTGTTGGGGAAACATGGGTTCCATTTCTGGCTCTGGCACTGGTTTGCTATTACCTTTGGTAAGTCACAGTCTCTGTACCTCAGTTTCCTCACTTGAAAAATGGGGTAATTTACTAGGCATGTTTCACAAAAGACAAAGTCACCCCACCCCACCTTTGTGAAATGCCTCAAGATCTGCAGATGAAAAAGCACGGTAGGAACCAGGCATCTTATTATTTCTCACCGTTTATGCTGTCTCTCTACTATTTGCATTCAGCTCAGCTTGGCCAAAGATAGATTAGTCTCTGACTTTCACGTTCTCCTGTGCTAGCACTATAGTGCGGTGTTTGTATATACTGTAAATATTTGTAAATATTCTCCCATTGCATTTATTGCTCGTAGGCTCAGTAAAAACGGGTCTTTAATAACAAAACCTAACCTTTGGGCCAAATTTGATCAGAAATTGGCTTACTTGTTTAAAGGACCACAGTCCTATTTATGCAGACTCTGTAGGAAAAGGAGGACTGTCTTTAAGAAGCTTTTGTAACGGTAAAAATCAGCTGAAGTCTTTCCTATAATCATAGTCCCAGTGTGTCCAATTCATTACTTTTTATCCAGCTGCAAGGATATCCTAATGGCAATTAAATACGTTCCTTATTAGCTGAAATCATTACAAGTTCTTATACTCCATGGGCTCTCAGTCACCTGGAGATTTGTTTTCAAAAGATCAGTTCACATAACTTCCTTACAGTAATAGGCAGTTTTCACCAGTTTTCCTTCATTTTCAACAACAGACATGAAACAAAATTGAACTAAATGGTGCCATTTGCTCTTCCCATCACCACACTTGAGATCTCTTGTGCAAAATGCTCTTGAACAATTTGTGGTTAGTGTCCAGTCAAAGCTAGAAGATGGGCAGGAGTGTTTGAAATCTGCAAAGTCTTTTGCTGGTCCGAGAGAAGCATCTGTGCTGAGTTTCTGCTCCCTCCTTCAATCTGGGATCTCGTTTTGGCTTTGTCTAAGAGGGCCAAGTCTGTCTTTATAAGGAGGGCTGATCAGACTACCCGCTTAAACTGAAAGGAACAGCATTTTTCCTCTCGGTGAACAGAAGACTTTACACAACAAATACTTTAACCGGGATCTCATTTCATACCTGTATCTCTAGCTCAATATATCTGGAATATAAAACACTTGTTAATTTATTGATTAAATTGCATTTAAAATTGTGAATGCAAAAGTAACCTTCCTACAGCAACTAACTTGGCTTCAGTACACAGTACACATTCTGTACCTCTTAAGACATTTAACCACATAACCATTTAACCACACAAAATATATCAAGGTATACTTCATAATGGACATATATGCAGTGTGCAATTTTCAGATGTTAATTTAAAATGTCCTGTCTCCTTCAAACTTACTGCTTGACTTTGTCTTCGGCAGCTGTCTGCATGACGTTTTCAAGTTTATTTCAAAGTTCATCCATTTATAAGTGTCTCATTTGATAGCAGGAAAAGTCTCTCCTGTTCCCTCTTCCCCTTTCCCACTACTCATAGTTCAAAAACAGCACTTTTTTTAGAAAATCTGCAAGAGATAAAATATTTCACTTTTAGGCAGAAACCAAGCCCTGGTGTTTGAGTTAGGTGGAAGTACAAATGAGATAATGGAAACTTAACTAGCACTTTCTATCAAATGGATTCTCTAATAAAGAAAAAAAGTCCTTGTAGAAAGCTAGGTTGCTACTGTAAGCAGCATTTCAGAGCGATTTCATGATCCATCATCTCACAAAACCCTTGTAATTCACTGGAAGAGCTTTCCTACTAGTTGAATGTATTGGATTAACTCATGTCAACACATGTGGAAAGTAACTGCAAGAAAGTCTCAACAGATGTAATTAGAGTATTTCCAGCCATGGCAAGAATACTGATATTTTACCTGACCTCGCCTGTACCAGTTAAGTGCTGCCATCAGAGCAAGTAATATTTAACACAGCACTTTGCTCAGGCGAGCCTGTTTCTGCTACAGGTGTTTCCTCAGGCTGTGCCTACGAGAAGAAGTTTAGGAATTCTCAAAGTCCAGCTTTGGGAAGCATGCAAACTGAAACTGGTTCGGCTGAAAAGAAGGAAGACAAATCTGTAGCTAGGTTTTCTTTAGAATCTCATTAGAGTCAAATGAAACACTAAGCAACCTTGTCAGCAATATAAATTGACAGTAACTAATTAAGCCACAGGAGACCACAAGCCCAGTTGAGTCCTGGTGTAGACCCATGCAACTCCATTGAAGTCAGTGAAGTTCTAGCATAAACTGGCACTGGGGAGAGTGACCGTTTTCGGGTTCCATCTGAAGTATGTGATTTTAGAACTCGACCTGTCAAGGGCTCCAGGGCTGTCCATTCACAAGCACCAGGAAAACTTGTTGGAACCTCCCAGTGTCTCAGAAATTGTCTTTCAATACATTGGTGTATGGAGTGGAGTATGTGGGCCCAAAGCATCGGATAGCTGGAGAAATGGCAGAATAAATGGAGTGAATTTCCTGTAACTATTTGGGACCTTAAACAAGTTTTTAAAAATCCCATTTGTCTTCAGCTTTAATAAAAAAACTCCTTCAGGTGGTTTAATCTGTTGAAATTGGCTAGAAATAGGGGTGCGTGCTTTTGAGTTTTTTTTCTGTTTTTGATACATGGACAGTAAAATGGTGCAGCGTCACACAATCTGAAGTAAATGGTATTGAGGCTTTTATTAGGTAGTTTTTAGGGCACATTTAAAGCAGTAACAGTAGACATTTAAAAGAAGATTTACTCGCACTACCACCGTATAACAGCAGATTCAATTGCTATAGTTAGGGCTGTGTCAGCAGTTGTCATTTCTTGTGGTGTGAAACTACACTTCTAGGTATTTATTTAAACCATGTGGTATGCGATACATATATTTTAAGGGAGGTGGCTCAGTATTACCTCTGTATCTCTGGGTTGCGAGGGAAGTCTTTAATGTTCTTTAAAAACAAGTATCACCCCTCAGTGCTTTTATAAAAATTTGCTTACTGTTTAAAAATAAACCCTTGAAAGTTTTTTTCAGAAAATCTATTTCTCTCATTTTTTTCCCCCTTATCCATCATGTGAATACCTGCTTATTCTAGCGTTGCTTGCATGTTACATACTGATGATACTGTTTTTATTGGGGGTATGGGACAAATATTAAAAAATTCTTTTGGGGTTGGGGGAAGGAGGAGAGAAGACGTAACATGGTACCTATCAGATCCTGCTAAGCAGGACTTGTCCTGATCATATCTTATGTGGGAAAACTTCAAGGAAAATTCAAGTTCTCTAGAAGGTGGTGTCAGTGACTCCTGCATTCTCCAGGCAGTCCTAAACAAGTGCTCGGACCTGGTGTTAGATTGTGCTGTGCTGCTGAAGGTGCTCTATTTTGGTGTGAATGATTTGAGTATTCATCATGAAAAGTACCCTTGACACTCTTAGAAAGAGTAGGTTTGTTGATCTGGTATTAGGGCCACATGCACATAATCCTGTTCCGCAACCCTGAAATTCCCCACCCCACTCTTGAAGTTTCAGTACAAAATATTATTGTTAATTTCTTGCGTCAAAAACTTTGTATGGTATTACTGGCACCTAGGGAGACACCTAATCAAGGGTTGGAGTAACTATAAATATAGTGTTACAAAGCAATTGAGTTCCTGTATCAATGTAAGGGGATATTGCTTTATTTGTGCAAACAGAAGAGGGGTGGGGTAATGACATAGTAAAGTTGGATTGATCAGTTTCACAGATGTATTTATTGCTGTGATTAAACAGTTCCAAGGGACAGCTCCAAGCCACAGTTCAGCACGCATTGCCCCTCTTCTGAGGGGAGCATTTATTTGCATGAAAAAACAACTACGATGATACTTGCAGTGGCCAGACAAGAATTGTCATGTTAAATATTTAATCAAAATGTTTCACGTTTGCATAGTAAAGATCTTCTAGTGTTAATGGGTATTAAAGGAGGAAATGAAAATGTTTATAAACTAAACGACCCAAGCTAAGATATCAGAATTTGTGTACGCTAAAATTTACATAGGTTTAAATTTGAAACCCAGATACATTTAAAACCATTTCCTCCTTTACTTGCCTGCTCAGACCTTAGTTCAGGATTCTGTTTGCCCTACAGCAGCCAGAGATGTTGCAGCCAGCTGAAACGGGGCCCCCTGTACTGCTGTACGGGGCTGTGATGCCATCAGCTATTGCAGGGGAGACTCTGAAGCCTGAACTTGGGTCTTGGAAGGTAAGTAAAGGGGGAATGGATTTCAAATATAGGTGAACTCTGATTATCTGAACCTAGATTGCTTGTAATTTCTGGTATGTTCCCCCCACCTATTTGGATAATTGGGATTTACCTGTGTTTTGTTGTAAAATATCTGTGTGTTTATAACAGTTTGACACTGTTACTTCTTTGGGAGTCAGGAGATCTGAGTTCTTTTCCCAACGTTGTTGCTATGCAGCCGTAAGCATGTCACCTCAGTTCTCTGTGCCTCAGTTTCCCCCCATGTAAAATGGGGTTATGGTTACGGTTGGCAAAAAAAAAAAGGAAAACTCTTATTTAAAAAAAAAAAAAACCCACAAAAAAGTGTCAGTTTTTATCAAAACTTCAAATTTCAAAATTTTCAACCATGTCCAATTATGATATTCCCCTTCCTTTTATGAAGTTTGTTGAGATCAGTATAACTGTTTTTTTAAAAAACCCTACAGCCACTATTCTCAAATGTGAGTGGCAGAGGTTAGCTACTTTGCAGCCTGACCTTTTCATTGACCTCAGTGGCTCCTCTGACCATTGGACCACTTACGGATTTCGATTCCTGAGTCTCAGCACTCACATTTGAAAATTTTGGCATTAGCTTTTCAGTGCATCTTTAAATCGGGGCAGCAAGTGGTTTCCAGTCTTCTATGCCGCTCCTATAGTGTTGCTGTCTTGCAGCAACTAAACAGTGTGCTCAGAAATGCCCACTCAAATTAAAGTCTTAGTTTTAAGATTCACTTCCTAATCGGCATCTTCCCCCTCCTGGCTCCCCATGTGTGTATCCAGAGCCCTGAGCAAAGCTGATGCAGTTTTTGTTTGAAGCACAAGCTAAGGCCCTGACTGCAACCTGATTTACACTGACTACTAGTCCTGTACTTAGCCTCTGAACCTCAGTGGAATTTCACATGGGTGTTTTTTGTGGAAGGTTTTGTGGGGTCTCTGTATAAAGGTCTTACTTATGACTAACAAAACACCATAGGGCCAATTCTGCTGCCACTCTGCACACAGCTCCCAGTTTCAGGACTTGGGATTTCCACACACCCAGCACTTGCAGGATTGGACCCATACATGTCATATTCACGTGGTTCATTCATATCAAATGTTAATTTCTAGGTGACTGGATAGAGTGGTTTGAGTGGTGACTTTATGGGAAGTTCTTTGGTACAAGGCTAACTTGAAAATCCTAATGAACTATGCGTCCAACCCCATTGCCATAACATCTCACGTTACTCAGACACCTCAGTGCTGTCCCCAGTGGAAAGGAACATTACTCAACCTCCCTGATCAACTCCCTTTCTTGACATGCCTTAATACTTTACTGTCTTGTAGCACCTTCTATTTCAGGAGCTCACGCCATTTGCAAACACTGATGTGGGTGAACACCTCTGGTTCAAAGTTCGAGGAAACTGAGATAGCGCGAGATTACCTAACTTCTAGCAAAGCCTGTGACAGAACCAAGAATGGAACCCAGGTCTTGTAATAAACCGGTCATGTTCACCAGAACCGCCAGACCGCTCTAGCTTTACTGTAGTAAATGATGAAAGAGAAGTGTAGCACCATGCTTTGTAGGCCAACAAATTGGGGAGCGTATTTGTTCTGTGGCCTGGGATCCTTGGCCAAAATCTCCCTGCCTTTGGTCCTTGAGAGTTGGCTACTGATGGTCATTAAAAGTCTGGTGCTGCCTTAGGTAGCCAAGCTCCATGGACAGCGAAAGTACATATGTGATATGATTTGCGCTCGGTGAATATCAATATCTTGGGCTGTGCAGCTTTGCCTAAGTTGCTTTTGTCTCCTCCTAGGTATGGCTTTGTTGAGTTTGACGATCTGCGTGATGCAGATGATGCTGTTTATGAGCTAAATGGTAAAGACCTTTGTGGGGAGCGAGTTATCGTTGAGCATGCCAGGGGCCCCCGACGTGACAGCAGTTATGGTTCTGGACGCAGTAAGCACTAACATGCATTTGTATCGCGGTGACTGTTTTTTTAATTAAGATATTTCACTTAAAGAAACACGGTATTTTTTTAAGAGTCATGATATGAAGTTTGAATAATTTGTTTTTGTAATTATTAATGTAAATATTTCAATATTTATCAATTTGCTAATTGTATATGATTTTATTTTACTTAATTAACTGATTAATAAATGTATGAACACAATTTCTTGTACCATTATTATTAATTTGTTTGTTTATTTTCTAAGTATTTGTTTATTTGTAATGTGATTGTTTAACATAGACTTAACAAAGACCTCAATGTTTTAATTAAAAGAGTCCTTTGAGGCTAAGATGACTGCCTGTTCCATTTGCTGACCTTGGGTTACCTTTCCATGAGTGGCTCTTTGACCTTTGTGGCCCTTGGCTGACCAAAAAAGGAAGCCATGTGACGACCGCAACCTTTTCCCATTAGACCTGGGTGGTGAGGATCCCAAGGGTTAGAGACAGATGAGATTAAACTGAAATAGGTGCCTGAAAATCTATATTCATGTCAGATATTCAGAAAACCTTTAATCAATGTAAGTAACATTAGTAAACTGGCTTTAGTGATTTGGTTTCTTGTTTCAAAAATTATTTTTTTAATAACTTAAATTTAATTGCATGTTAACTGTAACTGTAATTATAATTATACATCCTTGTAATTCTGGGCTAGTATTATAGTTATATATTTTTTAATGTTTTATCTCTGTAATTTTGTGTTTTAAATAAGGAGAATCTAGCTTAGTCTAGAGGGTGGGGCAAAGATTAAATGTATTTGCTGACATATTGGGCAGAATAGTTTATTTATCTGGGGTGTAGACTAAGCCACTCCACCTCCCTAGCTGAAGTATTGCTGTCTGCTTGTCACCTCCTAAAGGTGGATATGGTTATAGAAGAAGCGGAAGAGATAAGTACGGTCCTCCCACCCGTACAGAGTACAGATTGATCGTGGAAAATCTGTCAAGCCGTTGCAGTTGGCAAGATTTGAAGGTAGGGGGCCCCTTTCTTTACTCTGCCTGAGTTGAAGATCAGAAAGGGCATAAATGACATGGTGATTGTGAAGCCAAGGAAATTTTGTGTGATCCTGTAGCAGTTGCACCAGCTAAGCATTGCTTGTTGTGAGGGAACACTCTATTTAGAACAGCTCCAATCAGATCCTGTACGCTGGAAATATTTGACTATTTCAGAAGCTCTATTCTCTCCTTTTAGTAAGTGTAAATACTCTCTCTCACACACACACACACACACACACACACACACACACACACACACACAC